GATCATTATTTCATCTATTAACTGGAAGCCTTACACCTCGCTTTCTAGTACGACTCTGTCATTCAAAAACCTTTCTTGTCAGTTCTTCGCGCCATATGGATGAGCTGGCCGGCCCATCGCCACTTCAGCTTACTGATCTGTTGAGTTATGTCGTTTACTCTTGTTCTATTGTATATCAATTTTGCTGTGTAGTGACAGTGTAGTCCTATCCACTACCACATATTATCGTCCCGTCTCGTGGGTGTCATATGAGAAACAACCAATGGTCCAAAGTGAAACAAACCAGAAGATTATCTGCAGCGTTTTGATTATAACAACTAAAAAATAGAAAACTGAGTTTTCGGTTTTTTTTTTTGTACAACCAATACGGACTATCTCCAAGTGATAGTAATATGTATGTATGTAATATATGAGTAATATTATCTTTTGTAACCTATGTTCTATAATTTGGCAGAAAAAAGCGCTAGGAAGCGCTTGTAAGTAAACTGGCGATCGTAAGCGGTAAGCGCTGTCAAATGGTAAATAGCTATTTTCTTCTAGAACACTAAGTTAGCTTTAACCGGGGAACCTAACCTAATTTAAATATATTTTTGTAAAGTATTCGTATTAAAAACTTACCAATCATGAATTTTTAATAACATGTATAATATGTTTATTCATGTCATTATATTACTTGAAACTAATTGCACAAAACAACTTATAAACTCTACTTCAAAAGAAACAAAATAAATAAGCAAAATGGCGGCTTGTGTCAGCGCTACTGAAATTCAAACGTAACGTGTGCTGGGTGCTGGCCGAAAACTGTATAGTTTCGCCATTTTGCTTACAAGCGCTTCCTAGCGATTTAAAAATCTTTAAAAAATTTTGGTGAACTTTGTTACTTAAAGACTTTAAATAAACTTGTTTACGTTCATAAGTCGTCGAGTACGGCCATCACTAAATACATACGTATAGTAGACAGACTGACTGACCCCTTTATAGGTCTATAAACCGATCTCATGAATATTTAGTTGACACGCTTACAGTTCTGTTTTGATTACTGGCGTTATATATTTAGTTTAAACAAACTAAATAACCTAAAATACTGTATTTAAAATTAAAAAAAAATCTCTCTTTAGACCACTTAAATCATAAATCTTTATTAACAAGAATCACGGTACAACTTACTCTTAGTTATTACCATTGAGCTATTATGTACTAAGTACATATTACTTCAATGGTTATTACGTACTAACATTATTTATTACGTTTTTTTTTTTAAATTACTAACACATGTTGTATTCTTGTTAGCCGATAAATATTTTTTGATAACAAGATGTTACAATTTATCCAGTGCAGTCATGTTTCGCTAACAATAATACATAGCATGCAAATTAAATTTTAGACTGTTCATATGCCATAAATTAATTACTATCTAATTATAAAGGCATTCAGTTTTTACTTTTTAACCAATTATACAAATGTTTCTCATATAATCTTTCGCTTAGTAATTAAAATTCTTTAGGTAGTTTATTATATATTTTAGGCAATTTTTGTTAACTTTTACGAGCCTGGGAATGACATCAAAGACTAGTTTGTCTGGGTCACGTCGGTTTCGAGAATGTATATCACTTGCTTTATTAAACAATGACATGTTTTTAAATGTTTCTTTTTTTTTAATTCAGCCCATCATCATCATCATCGATTATCATTACAGTCCTTCATTTTTTTACTGGCTTTACGGCTCTAGGTTCTAGCCCTTCTGAGAGTCCTTTACAAGTTCACTCCCGAACAGAGTAACGACGTTGTCACCCCTGAGAAATAAAAAAAAAATAAAATTAAATTTTATGGTTGGTGACAACGCATTCATTTCATTCTTAATCTAGGATAAAAATGTAGATGTCTATGGGTCACGCATCCACTTACCATCAGGTAAACTGTGTGCTTGTTCGTCACTTTTACTCTATAAAAATGAGGGACAATCTTAACCACGCACAACCACACAAATAAAAGCTCTCCATTAAAAATTGTTTTGAATTGAAAACGTGTTTACAAACGTTCTGATTTGAAACTCCATGAAACGAAAAAGCGACAATAAAAAGAGACAAACATATACAACTGATTTAGCCTGCGAGAGAATGAGATAGAATACAATATAACAGTGTTTTCTATTATCTCGTTCTCCTCTTTGTAAGGTGACTTTATGATAGTTAATGTAACTTTTGACTGTTAAATTGAACAGTTAAAAAAATAACAATTTAAATAAATAAAATTAACCATACTGAATAATATTGTCAATTTTTGTTCGATAAAATCACTTTACCCAGAGAAAATAATGGCGGAATTATAAAACAATTTTACTCGCAATTTTCTGAAAGTTTCACTTTACCGCGTGTGAACTGCAACATGTTTTTTTTTTTTCAATTATTGTTATATGAAAAAGATGATAACGCTCAATTTCAGTGTCTCGCCATCTGTTGTCCGCAGGCGAAGTGAACAACGCGTACGTGACGGACGGGCAGTCGGTGGCGGGGTCCCGCAAGTCGCTGGCGCTGCAGCCCGTGCTGCTGGTGCGGCCGCCGCCTGAGCTGGATGCCTACTCGCACTACTCGCACCCCTCGCACCACTCGCACCACTCCTCGCGCACGCCGCGACCCAAGCACGGCCTCTACGCCAACGCCATGCACAACTATCATTAGGCTTCAATGCGCGATCTACAGATGACGTAATTCTACGTTATTACGATAGATGGCGCTGTTTTGTTATTGGGCCAATTTCTGTAAAAGATGGCCGTCTATGGATGATGTAACTACATTATTATGATAGATAGCGCAAATTTTTACGTCAAATTTCGTTTATAATCGGACTCTCACCAGATATCGCTAGTTGGAATTTATTTTATTTATCACATAAATGTCGTCACCAGTCAATGAAAAGTTGCGTTTTAAATAAAAAATTTTCTGTCTTTAGTATAATAGTATTTGAATATCAGTACTGTAAGTTTTAATTTTTTTTTAATTCTTCTTTTAGGAATATCCAAGGTTTGATTTATCCACTCCCAATATAATTTTTATAACTTATATTTCAAAAAGAAATGTTAAATGTTAATCTCTGTACTTTTCTAACACATTGATTTCCTCATTCTAAAAGTGTTGAAGCATTAAACGATTTTTGCGATAGATGTAGTTGATACAAAATTAACAAAATATATAATATAAAATTTTGTGACATTTTAAAATTTAATGGTGTTCATTTTTTACCAACGTCTTACAGATTTAAACAATATTTATATACTAATATAGGTAATGTGTTCGTAGATAAATATTAAAGTTTTGTAAATTATACGTTTCTTCGAAAATATATTTTTGTAAATCGTGTTATAATGAAATAATAGTTTTCGTATATACTGTAAATTAAGTATAGATTGTAAACCAATGTAAAGTTTTATGTAAATAAGTCTATTGATACAATACTTAGATTAGTTTTAAGTATTTTGTAATCACTTAGACATTGCCTGCCCGTACCTTCTAAGTCGAATCCGTACAACGAAAAACTTGTGCCTGCAAAATAATGGAATTGAATTTTTTGTTGAATATTATGAATAAATTAGTATTTTGTATGTTTTGTATTTTATTTTACCTTTAAGTATAGTTACGTTAGTACTATAATTTATTGTGTGTATCAGTGTAGAAGTACATGTTAGAGCCACGTCCTCGCTGCACATATTATTGTTGGAGCACAAATTATTGGTCAGCTTGAGGAAGAAAATATGCTCTTAAATAATACTCGGCTTTAAATAGCCGCTTCTTTCATTTCGTAAGTGCTAAGAACGGATTGTCATATTTTATATCTATGAATGAAACAATCCTTTTTATTTATAAAAAAGCCAAAAATAAACATCCACCTGTTGATAAGTGGATACTAAAGCCCATGGATACCTGCAGCTAACTTCGAACGAAGAAAGCTACAGACGTATTGACACCTCTGAGAGCTAAGATGGAATGACTCACAATTATTAATAATGTAAATATACTGGCTTTATGTACCTTTTCAACAGGAATACCTATAGAGGCAATGCTATTTAGCGACAGAAATAAATAAGAGTAAGAGTATGGAGTGTAAAAGTAAGGAGTACCAACTCCCATAGTAGAAAAAGTGGTTATCTGTAAGCAGTAAATAACAGCTCAAAAACTCTCCACAACAGCGCTGGAGTAGCTACTGTTATGAAATGAACTTAGCAGTTGTTGACGGTTTAAGTGTGCTGCTAAACTGCTCAGTAGCTCTAAAATCTAAAATAGTTTTATTTAGTAAATATAACCTCGAAAAAGTCGTCTATCCCACTAATATTTTTCGGTGCGTTCTTTAAAATTGACCCCGTAGCTATATATTGGCGCCACCCTTATTTAACGGTTTTCTATGGACACTTTTTAATACACAGTCTGTACTCCTTACTTCTACACTCCATAAGTAAGAGGTTTAGAAATAGAAAGGATTCGTACCACCTAAAATAGATTTACTTTTTTAAATATAAATATATGTTATCTGTGTTGAGAATCAGTACACCATTTTCTCCCGCGGCCGTTGTCGTAAGCGACTATGGGAATGTTAGAATAATATTATTGGTGTGATAGATGGCGGTAAGACCGCATCATTTACGTGAGCGTTAAGAACTGGAGGGGTTGTATCTATTCTATGAGAATAACAATTCATCATAAATAATTAACTAAATAGGTATATTTTTACTGTGATTTGTCAGTGGTGAAAAAGAATTTATCACCTCCTATCGCCTCGCGGTTGTCGTACGAAGCGACTACGGAAAATGTCAAATAAATCTTTATGCCTGCCGATAGATGGCAGTATAATCATTTCGGTTAATGTAAAATACGCATTCTGGTGAGGCGCAGTAGCGTCTAAATTCCTCACTTATGGTATTGAGATCGTCTGTGAATTTCCCCTACAAGCGGGAGGGCCTATGTTATATGCGCTGAACAAAAAAAAATGAATGGAACAACTATATGTTGTCAAGTTTTATTTAATCTCCACAAAGTAGTATCAGTGTATCCGTGGTTCTCGAGGCAGGTCTCTTTCGGAAGCTGGTACGTAGCTAACAGAGACAGATGCTCTCTCTTACTGTGCGTCAGACCATGTCTCCCTGGATCTCCAATTAATACCTGAAAATAATGAATCATTAATTTTTCACGACTTTTTGGCGAAATACGGTCCGAATACTTCGTTGCTTTTTAACTGCCAACCCACATTCTAAATCAGCTAAAGAAGAAGCAGACTGCCTCGTTAGTCTCGTAGTATACGCGGTTGCTGTTCATGAGGTCCTGAGTTCAAATCCTGGGTCAGGCTATATTCAGTTATTGGGTTTTCTGCCAAGAATTCTCAATAGGAAGCAGGAAGTTCGGGCAGCATATTTTTATTATGACTTATAAAGAAACAAAAGTCAGCTTCTGCCAATATGGTGTGTGAAGAGAGCCAAAGAACCTTTTCATTGGGCAGAAAAACGAAACTTAAACAAAACCCAAGAAGCCAAAAGGGGCCCCAAACGTTTTTGCCAATTAACAAGAATGCATTCATGCTTATAACAAAACAAAAAAAAAAAAGATTGTATCAGCAATACGCTTCTTCATGCGGCCAGTTATTGTAGTCACACTAGAAACTTTGTGTTGAAGATGTCAAAATTATTTAGCTGAGTTGCCCGTAAAATTAAAAATTATGTGTTTTATTTCAAGATCAACTCCCGCCCGCCTGCGTGCACTATCCCCGTCACTACTATTTTTTTTTTTTATAGAAGAAGGGGCAAACGAGCATGCGGCTCACCTGATGTTAAGTGACTACCACCGCCCATGATCAACCGCAACACCAGGAGAATTGCGGGTGCGTTGCCGGCCCTTTAGAAAGGAGTAAGCTCTTTTCTTGAAGGTCCCCAGGTCGTATCGGTCCGGAAAAATCGCCGGTGGTAAACTATTCCACAGAGAGGTTGTACGTGGAAGAAAACTCCTTGTGAAACGTACAGTGGTGGACCGCCAAGCATCCAGATGGTGTGGATGGTATCGGGACGTTTGACGTGTAGTGGGTTCACGAAATTTGGCGGCTGGGATTAATCCGAACAATTCCTCAGAGCACTCCCCGTGATAGATGCGATAAAATACGCAAAGAGATGCAACATCTCTTCGCAACGCCAGTGAATCGAGCCGACCGGAAAGCACTCGGTCGTCTAACTCACTAAGCCCAATACCACTACTTCCTGCATCACTACACTAAGAAAGACACCATCGTCTAAAATATGATACGTGTTTCGTCAGGAGAAATAGACTTGGCGGTGGCTGACAGCTAAGTGTACGTTCACTTATTAGGCAATACGTGTTTCCATTAAATATCTAAAAAAAACTAAAGTTAAAGCTCTGATCTTACAGTTTTTCCATTTCGGGTTAAAGCCTTAAGCCATTCGAACAAAACCTTTGCGAATTCCTCGTCATAGAACATGTCGCCGATTAAAACAACTTCGAACTCTTCGCATCTCCTTCCAATCATGTCTTCTGTACTGGTTTCGATCTTAATTCCGTTTAATTCTGCGTTAATTTGTGAAGCCATAACTGCCACTGAAAAATAATAACATACTGTGTACACATTGCAATGGAATAGTAAGCTGAAGTGGCAGTGGGCCGGCCATGTAGTTCCAAGAACCGACAACCGATGGGGAAGAAAGGTTTACGAGCAGCAGGCTCGTACCGGCAGGCGAAGTGTTTGGTGATGCCCTCCACTCGGTGGAATAACGACCTGGTGCACGTCTATGCAGGAAGTCGATGGATGCAGGTGACGCAGGACTGTCCTTAGTAGCATACCTTGGGGGAGGCATATGTTCAGCAGTGGACTTGTAAAGGTTTGTAATGATGAATGATGAGATTGTAATGATTTCTTATTGATTTACACGAATACGTGACATTGAAGATCGTTGTGAAGCTGTAAACATACAAAAAGCGATAACTTTTCCCTCCCGTAAACATACCTAGTCTAATTTTCATAATTTTTGGTAATGTAGATATAATGAAGAACTAGGTCCGTACGTTTTCACTTTATGGAAATATTGCGTACGATATAAGTTATTAGCCTCGTAAATATATATATATATATATATATATATATATATATATATATATATATATATATATATATATATATATTTGACTTAAGAACTTCCTCGAGCGCTTCCATTTGTTTTAAATAAACTTAACTGAATTTGGTACTAAAAAAGAAAAACGTACCGATCTAAATTAAGGTATACTGAATCTAACGAGACCAAAATTGTCTCATTTCGTAAAGATTTAGTGGGTGAAAACGTTATCGCTCGAAACAATATTTAAAAAAAAGAAAATGAAGGCGATTACTTCCAATATTTGCAGCTCTTTTTATCGCACGACGGCGATACGGAGCGAGCGATGTGGAACAGGTAGCATTTTTGAAAAAACCTACTCGCGCTGCGTATTGGAACTTCAAAATCCTCTGAATAAAATAAAAAGGATTTTTACGCGTTTATTTTAACTTATTTTTTATCTCGATGTTTTTGGTGCTTCACAGTTGATGTTAGTAAGTCTGCATACATCAGATTATTTATATCAGATTTGATAGACCACAAATCCTCGCAAAAGTACACCGTTTCCTATCAAGGATGATTCGCGAGGTTTTTTTTATAGAATAGGGTGACAAACGAGCACACAGTCCACCTGATGGTAAGTGGTTGCTGCGGCCCATAGACATCTACATCTATCCTCGATTACGAATCAAAATGCAGATGCGTTGTCACCCGTGAGGACTGAGATGGAATGCCTCGTTTCCAGTAAAAAGGGTCTCCGGTTCTCTACACTCACCATACGAAATACAGCAGCATTAAGCTACTATTTTACGCTGGTATTCTGTGAGAGCGTGGTCCTTCCCCGGTCGAGCCGACCCATTCGTGCTACAACTATACTACTAATATAACTGCAGCATGGCTCTACCACGTAAAAACACGTTATTGAAATTAAAAACAACAATCTATCTCCTCCGTAACCCGTAGGTCAATTTACATAATTTTTTTCGGCAATATTTGTAGCTCAACGCAGACAAGGTTTGTAAACAATAAAAATCTGAATTTGAATTTTCGTTTTTCAATTACTATCTAATCCATTTGCTAATTTACATCTGCGCAATCTCACACTATTTGATTGAATCTTTTGTTGAAACAAAGATAGTTATGACTTTAGACTTTTACTCCGCTCCGTTTATGATGCTAGCAAAAGGTTTTACCTTTGCATCTGCATTGACCCTAGTTAAAGGATGCTTGGGATAAAATTAAATCCAAACCCAAGCATACTACTGCAACATTTCAAGATACTGTAAGCTCTTTCTGCGTAGATCGGTCCTAAAATGAATACATATTCAAAATCTGCTTGGCATTGATTTATATTTTGTATAACTCAAAGCTGCCTGGGATCAGGACGTCAAAAACCTCAGTCCCCAAAGCACCCGAAACGTCTTGAATTAAAAATAATTTAAAAAATTAAACGCGAATAAATCTGTAAAATTAGCTTCATTCAGTATACTGAGTGGTAATCAATATGAAACCATTGTGCGTCGTCGTAATACTATATTAAAAACTTAACTAGTTAAAATCTTTGATTTTAAATAGTAAAACTAAATATGATATTATATTTAACCTCATCAAACAACAGGGGATGTAGCTCAGTGGTAGAGCGTTCGCTTTGCATGTGAAAGGCCCCGGGTTCGATCCCCGGCATCTCCAACTTTTGTGAATTCTTTCTTATAGTGAGTTTGAGTTGTAGAAAAGTGTCATTTATCTCAATAATTTTAAGGAAAATAAATAAAGAAAATTGAATGAAAATTACTTAATATTTTTAGTGCTTTAAATTAAAAGGCTTGTGAATTTTATTGTTACGTATTCTAGAATCTTTTATCGTCCGTCACATATAGGTATAGGCAGAAATAACGGACTTCCATTTGGCAAGATCCTGATATACCTTCCTAGCTTTCTTCACATATCTTTCTCCATAATAATATATCTAATCTACACATACATCATCGGTCTTACTTTTAATTTGGTCCATCTTTAATATTATAGTCAATAAGCTTCCCTCTTACCTTCTAAATCATACTTTGCTGACCCTGCCATTTACTTCTACAGTGTAAATTTACTCTATAACTCTTTTCTCAAAGTTTCTTTCTAGGTGTCCAAGCCACCGTAGCAAACATCTTCTTGGAAACCACAATTTTTACGTAATTTGTCTCCCTGTCTTTCAAGGTCACACCTTACTTTCTTCTTTGTACAGTATTACTATTTTTATATATATCTTATAGATTAATTATTTAAAGTACTATGCTTAACTATACAGTGTTATGAGTAACTTTTTTAATGTTTGAAAAACGCTAAAATAATATACGACTTAGAGACTATGGAGTGTAGAAGTATTAGGGACCTTCAAGAAAAAAGCTTACTCTTTTTTAAAAGGCCGGCAACCACAGAAATCTTTATCTATTATTTAGATTTCTGTATCGGCAACGCATCTGCAATTCCCCTGGCGTTCCAGTTGCTCATGGTCGGCGGTAATCACTTACCATCACGTGAGCCGCATGCTCGTTTGCCCCATCTTCTATAAAAAAAATAAGTCTTTTGAATTATCTTCTTCATTATTCCGCAACAGAACATTGATAAACATGTGCCTACTCCATTATGTAATGAATTTGTTCTTCTCTAGTCAATGGTTATTAGGTATCTTATAATGTTTGTGTTTTATTTAATACTGTCGTGTAGTGGATGGCAATGTAAGAAACTCAACTACCCATTATTATCTGTATAAGTTAGTAAGTGCCGTCAGGGAAACTAAACCAGGAGATGGGCATCAGCGTCTTTCTGATAAGATTGTTGACAATTGCCATAGAGTATAGAGGTACACCACTCCATAATAGTTGGAATGTGGAAGTAATACTCCATGCATTGATATAATGAAAGTTAATCTTTCGCTCACTAGATGTCGCTAAATGTAACTATGGTGAACAAGCATTGATTTAATGAAGGTTAATCTTTCACTCACTAGATGTAACTATGGTGAACTGATTTGTCCGACGTGTCGTCATCATTGAAAAGTTGCATTTTATATAAAAAATCTCGATTTTATTTTATGTACATAAATAAATCCCCTGTGGTGCGCTTTTTAACTCATTTTAAATTCTTTTTTATTCATCTATTAGATAGGTATATCCGCAGTTTGGTTTATCCATTTCTAATCTAACTTGAAAGTACAAAAAATAGCTAATAATTCAACAATAAACAATAATCTTTATACTTTTCCAACAATTTAACTTCCTCGTCATGAAAACTGTCAAATAGGTATTACACTTCATTCCACAGTTGCGATGCCCTGGTGCAAAGACTACAATATTACGTAGGGAAAGGTGGCAGGCAAAGTTGTGGAAACCATCATTATAATCTAACGGAGTTACAACATTACACTTAAATTCCTCAAAGTTCTAGCCACAACTTTGTTGTGTATTTTCTATAGTATTCTGAGATTACCTACACATAAAAGTATAAATCAGATTTTTTTTCTTTGCCAGTCTGCATATTTTCATCTAGTGACGTGTGTTACACCGCCATCTATCGAAGATAATATTAAGACCTTTGTGGCTTGCTTTTATGTGTCGTAAGTTGCGTATTTACATCGCAATAATAAAAATAAATAAATTTGTTGACACACCACACAGCACCTTGCTAATTATAACAATGTATTTTTTTACCTTCGTCGGTATCGTTCGCCACGACTCTCTTGGCCTCCATAAAGGCAGCGGCAATCGAGCCAGCGCCACATCCACAACCAACATCAAGTACAACGCGATTTTGTACTACCTGTTTATTATCTAAAATGTACCTAAAACAAAAATATAATATTTATTAAAATAAAAGTATGTACCTACTTACATATAATATTTTGATGCGTTATTATAAACTCTACAACGTACTTTGAAGAAAGGAATAATAAATAAGTTTCTGCTAAATAGCGCTGATTATGTTCACCTCGTTATTTTGATTATTATTTATTTTTAACTTACTTACTTATCTTCACGCACAATCCCTAACGGGGTAGCCAGAGAGAACAGATCGCCAAGTGTCACGATCCGTACATACCTCTTTCGCTTCTTTCAGGTTCATTATCTACTTCATACATGCACGTCTAGGTATCCGAGTACTCTTGACCTTCCCTTCTTCGAGTAATTTGCTCACATGGTCTTCGAAAGTTAGTCTCGGTCTACCTCGACACCTTTTAATATTTACTTTCGCGCCATATATTTTCTTCACCATTCGGTTTTCACTCATTCGCTCAACGTGCCCAAACCATCGGAGTACGCCCCTATCAATTTTTGTGATAAGGTCATCTTTCAATCCTGCCATATTGCGAATCTGTTTGTTTCGCTTTCGGTCGGCTATGGTAACGCCGCACATTTTACGAAGAGACTGCATTCAACTTGCTTTTATGCTTCTTCTGGCATACCCAGGTTTCGCTGCCATATAACAAAGTCGGTACCAGCACTGCGTTATGTATTGCAAGGCGTGCACTCTTCACTACGCCTTGCCTTTTGACTAACGCATTCAGGGCACCATTGACTTTGTTCCCGGCAGCGACACGCCTGTCCACATCTAAATCACATCTTCAATCCCGGCTGAAAGCACTCCCCAAGTATACAATTTCATTTACCTGTTCTAGACATTAACTATATAGCTTAAAAGTATAACTTGAATATTTACAAATAATTCACAGAAACATAATAACAATTAAAAGTTAATTAGACAATTATTAACTTAACTGGAAAAAAAGAAATAATGTAAAAATTCCCTACTAGATGGCGTAGTAATATGTTTACCTAGCTATTTTAACCATTTCACTGTCCCATGAGTCATATATGAACATTTCGATTGTTTAACTATTGTGTCTACTTCGCGGACAGGGAAGTTGTTAATATCTTTAACGATATATGTAGCTTAAAAGTATAACCTGAATATTTATAAATAATTTATAGAAAAGATTAGTAGTGAATAATACAATTTTAGAAACTAGAGGATACAAATTACAGGCAAGGACAACTCGCTTTTATAAAACACACTAAGTGGATTAGACGTACGTTAAGTGGTACGACTGCTAGATGGAGCGACGATCTGCGAAATGTTGACGAAGTGAACTATAAGTATTATAAATATAAAAACGAAATCCAAAATAACTTTCTATAAATACCTACTCTGATATAAAATAATTTTTTTATTTCATTAGAAATACTTTGGAAAGCATATTTTCTATCTAATACATACTCAAATATTAACGATTTATAATTTTATACTAAAAGGTACACAGCCTAGATACGTCCAACAGCTGGGTACGGGCCTCTTCTCATATCTGAGGGTTTTGAGCACATGAGTACGAGTAGATAAACAGATTTCTACTTGCTACTTCGAGATCAATCCATGTCGCAGGTTTAATCCTTCCCACGTATTTTTTCTTTAGAATGAGGGTGATAAATGAACAGTCTACATGTTGGTAAATGGATTCTAAGGTCAATAGACATCTACATTTATTTTCAATTAAGAATAAAATGCAGATGCATTGTCATCCCTGCCCCCAAAGACTGAGGTAAAATTGCTCGTTTCCAGTAAAATAGATATCCAGTTCTCTACACTCACAATACGAAACAGCAGCATTACGCTGCTATTTCATGCTGGTATTCGGTGAGAGCGTGGTCCTCTCCCGGTCGAGTCGAGCCATTCGTGCCAACCATAATATAGCTGTAGCGTGGCTCTAAAACGTAAAATACCTACTGTATTTTATTAAAGTATTGAAAAAGACAGACATTTCCAAAATTTGCAATCCTGACAAGGGTCATAAGGAAAAATCCTGAAATATGGTATTTCTAACTTGGGCTTAGTTTATAGGGATAAAAAGGAGGAGAGGTGAAAGAATTTATCACGGTTAGATTAAATTAACATTTAGATTTGTTACGCTCTGCAACGTTATCAATTAATTATTAGCAAACGCCTTCGGCTATTCCTTATCATAATTATGTGATAACTGATAAGAGATCGTCGAAAAATGTTCGGGGAAATGCTAAAAATATATAAGATTATAAGTCGCTTGATAAGAGTTGATACACAATAATGACTAAGGATTTTTATTCACTTTTTATTTATAGTTTAATAAGCTCATAAGAAGCTTGTAGAAAAAATATCAACGTATCGATATAGATACATAGAAAATTTATTTGCTCCAAAACATGGTTCAAAGATGGTCAATGATGTGGAACTGACATGTTTTACCATGGGCATGCAAAAATTAAATTAAATATAATTACACTAAGATGATATAACATTTTAAATAATTTCGCCATTAATTAAGAATTATTTACAAAAATTCTTGTTAAATACAGTTATTATGTACAATTAAATACTTGTACAGATTTATTTAAATACAAAGAAATCTTGTATTCTTATACGATAAGTTGCTCATAAATTATTAATAGAATTATAACATCCTTAACATTAAACATTATATGGGATTAGTTAAGTTAGTTAGTATTCTTTCAATAATAATTACATTATTGCATAATTTAATTCGTAATTCTTATCATGGGAGCTATGGCAATATACCCGTGATGAGAGTTACGAAGAGACGGCCCCCAGACCCCGGCGGCACCACTATTCCTGGCTACGGTGGCGACCATGGAAATGGCGGGGCAGAGCGTGCTAAGAATCTCCGGTGGAGGTTCGGTTGCCATCTAAGACGACTCGACCTGGCAACATACAACGCACGCACCCTGAGGACTTACGAGAACATCCTGTGGCTGGAAGAAGTGATAGACAAGTTGGGCAGCAATATTATAGGATTCTCAGAGGTCCGAAGAGAGGGTGAGGACACGGTGATCCTCGAATCCGGCAACTTGTTCTATCACCGAGAGGGCAACCATCTGTCCCAATGAGGTGTCCGATTTATCGTCCACAAGTCTCCCGTTAACAACGTTAAACGATTGGAAGTGTGTCAACGAGGGTTATGTACCTTATATTCAGAGCCACCAAACGGTATTCGCTGAAGGTCATACAGGTTTACGCATCAACTTTGACACATCCCCAAGAGAAGGTGGAGGAAATGTATGAGAATATAGCCATGCATTCCTCCGAAATCCAGTAAGTACGGTCAGTTAATAAGTAGAGACTTCAACGCAAAACTTGGCACAAGAGAGAACGGTGAGCTGAAGGTTGGGAAATTTGGGATAGGGCAATGGAATCTAAGGGGCCAGCAGCTAGCCAACTTCATGGAGAAAGAGGGAATTGTTGTGACGAACTCTTTCTTCCAGAAGCGGCCCCATGGAAAGTGGACCTGGTCGAGCCCCGACGGTTCAACAAAAATTAAATTAATTTCATTATGACGACTAGACGGCAACTGTTTTGTGATGTCTCAGTGATAGCAAGAATGAAAACTGGCAGCCTTTGATTATATACATGTATATAACCAAAGCTGGCAGCGATTATCTATGTCCTCATTTTGTTTATATTGAAGTCGCTTGTACAAAATTTTAATTTTACCACTTGTTAAGAAATAAAGTTGGCAACCCTAACTGTACATAAAATACATTTTTATATATCTCATAATCGTGAAGGTTTATCCACGAAATAAATGTCCTGGAGTCATTGGCACGCAGTCGGCCTATCTGTCTCCGCCTGCCTGCCTGCCCGGGCCCGGGGCTGATCTTCAGAATGGTGGAACCGTTTGTGATGAAACTTTACCAACTGATGGAGAGCAATGCTATGCTAATAGCCTATATTGTTCCCGGAAATATTTCGATATCTTTTTTTTAATTAAGAGGATACCTTGAAACTGGCACGTTGTTTTGGTGGCAGGGCTTATCCCTTTGTCGGTGAAGCTCATGAAAGTCTTTGCTCATGAACGACTGAGGGAGTGTCAAAATGAAAGTGATGCAAAGAATTCATAATACATACATATACATAAACACTCACGCCTGTCACCCAGAGGTGTAGGCAGAGACTACAGACTTCGTTTGGCAAGATCCTGACACACCTCTATCGTCTCCTGCACGTCTATATACCTACGCATACATGCTCGTCGGCACGGTAATATTTGTCCTCGGTTAAGGGTGCTCCTAATCTGGCCCGTTTTCAATAAATTGTTAATTTGGTCGATAAATTTTCGCCTAGGACGTCCCTTTCCGACTCTGCCATTCACTTCTCCAAAATAAATTTTCTTTCTCACTCTTTCCTCATTCATTCTTTCCACATGACCAAACTACCGAAGCATTACTTTCTTAATCCTGATCACATCATCTTGCAAACCACACTCTTCCTTATCACACAATTTCTCACCATGTCATTCAGATTCAGCCCTAACTTTCTACTGCGCTTATTATACTCTCATGCTTCTTCTGCCACACCCAACTTTCATTACCATACGTTAGAGTAGGGACTAACACAGCATTGTGATACGTGCCTTTTTTGACATATTTTGACACTTCACAATAGAGTGTAGGGCCCCATTTACTCTATTTCCTGCGTTCACTCGTCGTTCTATATCATTATCATATCTCCCATGCTTGCTAAATACGCATCCCAAATCTTCTTATTTCACATATCATTTTACTTTCTTCTCTTTCAAAAACCATAACTTTCGTCTTACTTGCGTTCACTTTCATTCCTCTTTCTTTTAATGCCCAGTTCATTAATGTAACCATCATTTGCAACTCAGCCGCCGACGACGCAAGGATAACTTGATCATCGGCGTACAAAAGGCATTTGACGGTTAACTCACCCATTCTCTTCAATTTTCAAATTTTCCAAACAACTGTCCATAAATATGTTGAACAGCCACGGGAAGCC